TCTCCTGTCTCTTCAAAATAGCAGAGTGCCGAGAACATGGCTGGCTCTCAATCCATAGTTTTGGAACCGAAGGATGAATGAATGAATGAATCCATTTCTTCAACAAAACAGTTGTGGACATAACTCCGTGCTGAGACTAAGGAACGATGGAGGGAAATATATTCCTTCATCCTCTACTATCAACTGGGCCTTGGAAAAGTGCTTTTCCATGTACAAGAGAGAAAGTCAAAATGCCTTTTTAAAAGATGACTCCATGTTGTGCTCTTTGTTCGAGGGGTGGGGACAGAATTCATCCTGAAGGTAAAACCATTCTACTGTATAGGTAAACATTTAAAAGCACTTGACTATGCAAAAATGAAAAGAAAGCCAGGCGTGGTGGCACACGCTTGTAATCCTAGCACTAGGGAGGCTGAAGCAGGAGGATTGCAGTGAGCGCAAGGCCAGCCTGGGCTACATAGTGAGTTCAAGTCTAGTCTGAACGACATAGGGAGACACGTTTCAAAAAAATTAATTAATTAATTAAAGAAAGAAAGGCAAGAACACAGGCTGAGGTTGCTCCATAAAAGAAGTAAAATCGTAACCATGACTTCATTAGGTAGCATTTTTGGTTGTTTATTTGAGGGGACTGTCAGTTTTCCATGATAAACAGAAAAATATTTAAGTTTCACTTTGAGACAAGTTGGAGAGAGATTCTAGGCTTGAGAGTAAAAGCATATTTGAGGAGAAATTTGGTTCTGAGGGAACAGACCCAGGAATTGACCAGGGCCCAGGAAGAGAAACGCCAATGAGGACTTTTTCTAATGGGGCACAACTGAGAGACCTGAGGTGATGTTGAAGGTTAAATTTTGAATTGGGTCAGCAACGTACCAAGTCCTTCAGCAAATCTGTTACACACGCTGTTTTGTAAGTGCTTATACAGCTGTGATAGGTGCTAAACTATTAAAATATTTCATACCAGTTGGTAAATGGTCTCTGCCTGACGCTTTTCCCCTCTGGTCTCTTCATATCACTTTGGGTACCTCTGGCCCATGCCAGGCCAGGTCTCTTAATGTAAAGCCCAGAATGAAAGGGTTATCCTGACCTAGCAGGACTTGTAATATTCATTGGCTGTTTCCTGGCCTCAACCATTGTATTGTTACCATCACCACTGCCTCCACACACACCAGTTGGTTTGGGAGGCGAGGAGGTGATAAAGGAGGAAAACTGTGCCCACACTTGGCCGGAAACAAAGTGGAGAGGGGGTAGTCATGTGAAAAGGAGTGAGGGGGTAGTGATAGACAGAGGAAGAGGAGGCGCCATGGGTGGGAGGCAGGGGTGAGGGACAAGCAACAAGCAGTGCGTGCAAGCACTTGCCAAACATCTTCCAAGCCATCCAGAGGGCACTAGTGTCCTGCAGTCACACAGAGCAAGGACTCAAGCTCTTAAACTGGATATTAAAAAGAAAATGCACTGGCACAGGGCTGGGAAATGTAGGGACATTGGGATGATAGCCCTTCCTGTCCAGGGTCTGCTTGCTCCGATAGATTCAGTTTTCTACCACAGAATCATCTGTGGCAGAGGAGAGCAGGTGGGCTGGGGGCAGCACGAGACCCCTTGCCTTTCATCAGAAGCTCCGCTGTGCAGGCTTCTCCGCTGACCCGATGCCTTCACAGGCCACAGCGTCCTGCTGTGTGTATTAGACTCCCTGCCTAGCTCCACAGTCTTCTTCTCTCCTCTTCATGTCGGGAAAATCAACAGGAAACTCTGAAGCAGAAATAAAAGCAATTCTTTTCTCTTTTTTTTTCATTAAGTTTATTGGTACCTTTTAGGCAAACAATGCAGTTACATTCATCATTGGGATCTTGTACCTTTACGTGATGTATCTTGGTTCTTACTTTTTCCCCATACCCCTGCCCTCCCTTCACCCCTCCACCCTTCCTATTTACAAAGACTTTGTTTCCATTTTTCCTTTTCTCCTTTTTTTCTTTGCCCTTCTTTCCTTTCCTCTACCCTTCCCACTTCCCCCATGCCTTTAGCCCCTCTTCCCATTTCACTTTATCAGTTATACAATTTGAACCTTATTTACACTTTGTTTTTCATACCAGAGAAACTATTCAGTATTTACATGTGTCCTATTTATTTCACTCGAGTATGACCTCAATATGCATTTATTTACCTACAATTGACTCTAGTTTATCATTCTTTATGGCTGAGTAGTACTCCATTTAATAGAAAAACCGCATCTTCTTTATCCAGTCTCCAGTTGATGGACAATTAGGTCGTTTCCAAGTTTTAGTTATTACAAACCATGCTGCTATAAACATGGGTGCACATATATCACTATGGTATGATTTTTATAATTCTTTTGGGAGGGAATGCTGGGTCAAATGAAACCTCTAGTCCTAGTTCTTTGAGGTGTCTCCATATTGATTTCCACAGTAGTTGCACCAGTCTGCACTCTCACCAACAATGGAGAAGGGTTCCTTTCTCCCCATAACCCTGCCAACACTGGTTATTGGTTGATTTCTTGATAGCAGCCATTCTTTGTGGGGTGAGGTGGAATCTCAGTGTTGCTTTCATCTGCATCTCTCCACTGACCAGAGATGCTGAACATTTTTTCATATATTTATTTGCTGCTTCTCCATGTTTGTCTGAGAAATGTCTGTTCATTTCAGATGCCCATTTTTGAATTGGGTGTTTATATTGGGGGGGTCTGATATCTTTCTTTCTTTCTTTTTAGTTCTTTATATATTCTAGATAGCAGATCTTTGTCTGAGGAGCAGCTGGTAAAAATTTCTCCTACATTGTAGGTTGTCTCTTAGCTCTGTTGGTGGTTTCTCTTGCAGTGCAAAAGCTTTTTTTGGTACCAGGGATTGAACTTGGGTCCTTGCGCTTGCAAGGCAGGCCACTGAACTGCTGAGCTAAATCCCCGTCCCTAAAAGCTTTTTAATAAGATGAGATCCCAGTTGTTGATTCTTTGTGCTAATTTCCTTGTTACTGAGGATTTGTTCATAAAGTCTAAATGCAATTATTTTCAAGAGACCTAAGCAAACCCTGCTGGACTTGGGGGACACTTATCTACTGTCTTTATCAAGGGCACTTTTATGAGCCTCTTTGTTTTAGAGTATTCCTCCCCTCCCTGTGGCTACCCACCTAAAATATTTTCTTTCTTTTTCTTTCTTTCTTTCTTTTTTGAGAAGGGCCTAATTATGCTATGTGGCTCAAGCTGGCCTTGAACTCACTATGTATCCCAGGCTGGCCTCAAACTTTCAGTAATCCTCCTGTCTCTTCTTCCTGAGTACAGCTCGTTTTTTACTGTTTTGCTCACAGCTTCATCTTTACCTGGTTGATCCCATGGACAACATGGGCAGGCAGGTTCTGCCCAAGGCTTGCTAAAGGCAGATAAATGGCTCCACCTCATTGGAGGAAAAGCTACATTGCTTCCTGGAAACCAAGGAATGGAAATGGCAACTCATGGGGCTAACTGGGACTCAAGACAGCCAGCCAGCACAAAGACCCTGAAGAAGGCAGGTAGCCCCTTCATCCCCCTTGTGTGAAGAACGTGCTTAAGAAAGTGTCTCATCTGAGACCAAGGGAGCGTGTGAGACATGTCTGCACTTGTTCAGGGTATTCCAGAGCAAAATGTCTTTTGTGCCACCTCTCTGTCCTTCCTGCGTATGACTTTTACCTCACTCCACTCTGGCCACACAGATGTCCTTGATGACCCTGGAACTTGCCATGCTCATCCCCACCTCAGAGCTCTTTACTTCCTGTTTTCTCTGTCTGAAACACTCCAGTTGTCCACATGGCTCCCTCCTTGCCTCCCTCTGGTCCCTCCCATCCGTACCTTCTTGGAGATCTTCCATAACATCTCTACTCAAAACACCACACACCTCTAGTCACTCTCTCCATCTTCACACCAGCCTTGTTTTTCATTCTAGCACTTTCCACACAAGACATAGCTGATGTTTGACTATTCTCTGCCTCTTCCCTTAGAATAGAAAGTCAGTTAATAGGCACATGACTGTTGCATTTGCTGCAGAGACCTCAGGAACCAGAAATAAACTTGACATGAGTTGGGTGATCCATAAACGTCCCTGTGTGAATGACTGACTGGTCCCCCAACTCCTTCACTGCCACATACCATCTTACTATTAATTTTCCTCCCAAAGATCTTAAGGCTTTTTTTTTTTTTTTGGTTTCAGGGGATCTAATTTGAGACCTTTTGCTTGTGAGGCAGGCGGCTGAACCAATGAGCAAAATCCCCGGCCCTTAAGACATTCTTTTGATATCACTGAAAGCCAATCTGAGCTTCTGGGCAGTGAAAACTAATGCATAAACCCTCGGAGACTCAGTATGATCCCAGCCAGAGGTCTTTAAGCTGGCTTTGGGAGCGTCATTCCTCATAAAGGTATAGTTGGCATTAGCCTTCCCAGCCCACACATCCCAGGCACAGCTCTGACACGCTGGATATGGGAATTGCTGCCTTGGTATTTTGTCACACCTCTTCTTCCCACTAAGAGAGCACCTATCCACACAGGTGTACCTATACACCTGTCAACAGTCCAGGTACTGCCCAAGTGTGGGACTCAAGAACATCTCATTTAGTCAGTCAACATCAGACAAGTATTTTCCAGACACCTACTAGGTTCTAGCAATGCATCAACAAACCGCAGAGCTGTGAGGCTAACGTTGTAGAAATCTAGCAATCAAGTGCTTGTTAACTTAAACTAAAACTGGCCTAGAAATCTAGAATCTTCAAAAGATATGAATGCAAGCTGAAATGTTTTATTTTCAAAGTTCTAGAGATAATATTGTGAAGGTACTTAATACTACTAAATCATACTCTTGAAATGCTTAAAATAGTAAAGTTTCTTCTCATTTTCTTTCCAAGAATATGCCTTCAACATGTGTTTTTGCAGTTCACCAACCAGTTTGCACCTCTTTCCCTTAAATTTTATTTGGTTAAGTAGAAAAGTACTTGATGCAAAGGATGTTAGGTAACATACAGAATTGTCGGGAGTACAAGAAAAATAGACTTAAAAGCTATTTTGAGAAATTTCATTCAGGGCTTTGCTACAGAACTGCTTTGAGCACCACCAGGAGTTGGGTGCCGCAGTTCACAGGGTCACTACTTAAATCAGGATCTCACTCTGTTCCAATTGCTGCTGTCCTTAGTGCCACTAGCACTTCTGCATCAGGAACTTGACCTTTCCACCGCCACCTCTCCCCAAAACGCGCTCCACCATCTTCACCAGAAAATACCTTCCGGATGGCCTGGCATCCTTAAATTGTGCACTTTCCATGTAAGTCCCCTTCCAGCAGGTGGGTGTGTCGTGTTGGTGAAGCCCAGGTCACGTGAGTAGGCTTTAGCTGCAAGGGCAGCTGGGAAAATATTCCCAGAGTTCAACCTTAGGAATACAGGGCTTCTGAGACAGGGCTTTCTCCAAACACAAGAAGGGTTTTCAGTCGATGCAGCCAGGAAATGTGACAAATGCCCCCTACAGATATTCTCATATTTTGCCCTTTCATTTGTTCCACTCACCCATGTGGCCTCTTCTCCAAAGGTTCACTCACACCCTGTTTCTTCAGACTCTAGAATAGTTTGGGGGCATTCCACAGATTTTTCCATGTCCAGATGCACTCACAGTATGTTGTCGGACTTACTTTGGCCAGAAGAGCATCAGAACACAGAGCAGCTTCTCAGCAAACCAAACTCCCCTGATGCTTAATCCCAGGCAAAGTTCTAACACTTGGGACAGATCAGGGAAGAAGTAGATAGAGGTGGAGGGGGCTGGATGACAATATTTATCCTGGAAAGTAGTCAACCTATCATGAAGTACCTCCAATTTCTGTTCATTCACTGGCTCAGAACTGCACATGTATTATTGAAGGCCTCCATGGTTCCATGAACCAGGTCCTGTTATACGTACTGAGGATTCGGCCACTGACAAAATAAGCAAAAGACATTGCCCTTCTGTGTGTTCTAGTAAGAGAAGAGTCTAGCAGGAAATACATGTATAATGTATTAGATGATGAGAAAAGGAAAGAATATAAGGAAAAACAATATAGTTTGCTAGGACTTTTATCACAGAGTCCGCAGACAGGGAGCTTAAAAATAGAAATGTATCTTCACACAGTTCTAGAGGCTAGAAGTCCAAGTTCAAGGTGTCAGCAGGAATGCTTTCTTCTGAGGCCCCACTCCTTGGCTTGTAGGTGTCTGTCTTTTCCTTGGGTCTTCATATGGTCATCCTTCTACATGTGTCTGTGTTTTAAAATCCTCTTCACCAATCACACTGAACCATAGCCCATCATTTTACCTCTTGGAAGACCACATCTCCAAATACAGTCTCATCCTGAGGTTCTGAGGGAAGGATTTCAACTGACGATCTTGTGGAAGACAAAATTCAACCCATAGTAGAAGTGCAGGAGGACTGGGTGTTATAGTTTTATTTATTTCTTACTCTTTTATGATACTGAGGATTATACCTGGGGGTTTGCACACACTAAACCAGTGCTTTATCACAGAGCTACAGTCCCGGCCCTTATCCCCCACCTCCCCACCATTTTTTGAGACAGGCTATTGCTAAGTTGCCCAGGCTGGACTCTAACTTGTAACCCTACTGCCTCAGTCTCTGAGATTACAGGTACTTAATTTTTGTTTTTATACTATTTATGTTGATTATTTTTATTATACATTTTTCCAAATACAATTAAAAATAATAAACAAAAACCCATGCAACAATCACTCGTTTCAATAACCAACACATGTTTCTTTCCCTTGCCTGCTTTTGATTGTTTGTGTTTTGTTTGCTTGTTTGTTTTGGGGTGCTGTTTTACTTGTGACTGAAAAGTGTTTTTTTGTTTGTTTGTTTGTTTGTTTTTTTAGTACCGGGGGTAGAACTCCGGACCTTGCGCTTGCAAGCAGGATGCAGAACCACTGAGCTAAATCCCCAGCCCTGGAGAGTGTATTTTAAAGCAATTCCAGATTCATGTCCCTTCAGTCCTAAAAACTTTCACATGACTCTCGAGAAAGAAATACCTTCTTATATAAACTATGATACTATTATTCTTCCAGCCAAAAACTATTTAAATGCCTTAATATTATCTAATATTGGGCCACAGTAAAATTTTCTCAATTATCAAAATTGGTTTTACCACGACAGGCTGACAGGCTGGGGGAAACTCTGGTTGAAGGCATCTTAACAAGGATGCTTTCTTTCTGCTTGCAGTGCTGGGGATGGAACCCAGGACCTCATTTATGCTACACGAGCACTCTACTACTGAACTGCATTCCCAGCCCCAGATGCTGACCTGCTTCCAGGTGGGCTTTGGAGCCCCTCCTGGATTGTCAAAACATACTAGCTACTATTTATGTAGCCCTTACCATGTGGTAGGCAGTAATATAAACCTTTACACTTCTCTCCCCCACCTACTTCTAGGGCTGGGTTCCCAGCAAACCTCATTCCAAACTTATTTCCCTGCGCATGTCCCCAGGAGATCCTGCAGGATACAGGCAAGAAAGCTAAATTTATCCCAGTTTCTTGAAGAACCTGTCAGTTCAGCCCAGCTCTGCTTTCCAGAAGTCATTTTACAAATCTTGTTGAGCTGATGTGAGGTGCGAATCACTGCCCTCCAGAAGCCATTTGCCCACTCCCCTCCCATCCCAGGAGGATGGTGGTGTGAATCAAAATACAAAATCCCGACAAAGCTGACAGGCAGGCAGACCTTATTCTGACTTGACAGCTTTCACATCTCTGTCAACCTGTCTTTCCCCATTTAGGAAGCATGGCAGCTCCAGCTTTCCTTCTAAATAATACATAAGCATCCGTCTATGACTCAAGCCAGATATTCCAAGTACACCAGGTTCGTCATCATCTACATCAGAGCCTGTGCCAGCCCCGCCTGATGAGGGCTCAGCCTGTGTTCCTCAGCACCTCCACCCCCATCCAGCCTCTGTTCAGCCGCCCACTCCCTTCAGCAGGTTGGAATGGAGAGGGAGAGTTCAAGAGCTGTGAAAGAAATAACGAAATGAGCAAAGCTTTGGAAATGGGAAAAACTGCACACTGGAAACCTTTCAAGCCAAGTTTGGGGCCGTCCTTCCCCGTTAGGAGAGCAATAAAGAAAAAGCAGTTTATGCCATTTAGAAGCAAATGGCCCTTTCATCTGGAGTGGCTATGTAATGAAAAGCACACTGCCAGGGAGGGAGAGTGGGCTCCATCCAGCAAGGAGCATGTGCTCCAGGCAGCAGACAAAAGGCTGCCTGGCTGCCGGGCTCTGCTCATAAAAACTGCTGGGGGTGGAGGGAAGGAGCAGAAGGAGACCTGGGGTTTTACGTTTTCGCTTGTGTCTCATGAATGTTCTTCAGGGACGGGCTCTGGGCTCAGACTCAGCAGCATCAAAGGAATGCTCACCAGGGCGTCTGTTACGGCCTGCTCAGAAGGAGGGGCAGGAAGACACTTTGACCACAGCCCTCCATCACTGGAATCGTTGCCAAGGAAAAGGCTGAAGATAGGCCATTGTGAGGGGGAAGGACACCTTTATCCTTTAATGGCCATGTGGGCCACCTTTTCTCCCCTCGATGAGAGGTGGTTCTGAACGAGCTAGGTCACTGCTATGCAGTGTGGCCCAGGGACCCCGTAGCCTCCGTATTACCTGCAGCTTAGTAGAAATGCAGATGGTGGGGTCCCTCCACGGAGCTACGGTGTCACCCTCTGCACTCGAACCCCACCATGCCTGGCTGTTGTGCACATTCTAGCTGAGCTGCTTGAGGGCTCTGGGCCTTCTCAAAGCTGTGAATAGAGAGGTGTGGGGGAGGAAGGGAAAGAGCCACTTTCTTTTTGGGGCTTGTGAGTACCTGAGGGGGACAGGGAGAGGAAAGTGCAAGTGAGTAACACAGACTCTTCCAGCCTGCTGGGGACTTTCAGCAATGAGTCACCGTGTCACTCTCTCCCTTCTATGCGCTGTGGGGCCCCTCCACCCTCCAGCCAGGTAAAACACCAGCTTGTGGTGGCCCAGCCCTTCATCTATGCAAAACTGCTGCTTCTCTTTTGCCTATTGGAAACCATGCCCATCAAGTAATCACAGAACTGAGATCTTATCAGTAAGCACCTCAGCCAGCTCTGGAGGAGCCTCAAGGCCTTATCCTCAGCTCTCAGGGACCACTCTGGCCTTATCACAGAGGCCCCTGGCAAGCCGCCACAGACGGGCCCATTTAGTGATTCCCATGGTGCCTCTCGCCGCAGTGCCAGATGCCAGAAGCCAAGAAAAGCTATATTACAAAACTTATTTGAAAGAAAAACCTCCCGAGGATTTTTTTTCCAATCTTGCAAATATTTCGAGAATGTCTGTGCTGTCAAGACTTTGAAGAATGTCTGCTCCAACATCCATTAGCATCATTAAAAAAGAAACCAGTCTCTGAGGTGGGAACACGAAAATGGAGCGTATCAAGCAAACAGAGGCTCCTCTTTTGGAATAAGGAGCAGCAGCATGTGCTAGAACATTCTGTCACTCATCACTTCTGCCCCTGTCTGCCTTTGGGGAGACTGTCAAAGTACCTGTGTAGGGGGATACTGGAGAGAAAATCCTGTGCCTGCCTGCATCCTCTGTTTCCAAGTTTAGAGAGATGTACATTTCTTTTTACAATAAGGAAGTTTGTTGGAACCATTCCTGAATCTGTAGAGATCTGCAGACTCTCTGAACAACCAACAGAATTATGCCAGAGAAATATATCTTGGGGTGGCTATTTTTATCTCCCTGGTAGGCACTCTGGAAATGTCTTTGGCTACAGGAGACAAGGAATAAGAAAATTGATTAGGACAGCAGGCAGTACATCCCAGATGGCCTCACCCACCTGCCTCTATCTCTCTGCAGGGTAAAGTCAAGCACCCTAAAGATACTAAACGGCTGAATATAAATAGAGGATGAGAAGGGATGATGGACGAAAGGAGTCCTCGAAGCCCTCAGGCCTGCTGGTCTGTAGATGCCCCTGAGTGAAGCAAGTATCCTTTCTTGTTGCTAGGGGCCCCTGTCTTGGGCTAGATTCCTTAGAAGACTCCATCAGGGCAGGATTCCTACCAAGGACTTATTGGGGAGGGTGATTAGGACCAAGGGAAGCTGAACTGGGCGGGAAAGACCAGAGAAGATGTGGCCTCCCTGAGACAGGTCCAGGGCACAGATGACACCACCGAGTTGATCCTACCGTGAGGGCAGGGCCTATCGGTGGTCAGTCACTGAGCCATGACAGCACCTACCATATTCTTAAGTTCCACTTCAAGATGCATTTGTGCCTGCCAGCTGGGACTCTGGAATTATTATATATAAATTGATTTTTGTGGGTGCATGTAATTTAAGAGAAATTTCACCAACTCTCCACTCTGAGCCATACTGTGCTGTTTATTTCCCACCACACTTATCATCTACTAACCTGCTAATGATTCACCTGTTTTATGTTAATCCATAATTTATTATCTCTGATTTTAGACATTAGCTGAGGGGAGGCCTTTTATCTCTTTTACCTGATACAGCCCAGGAGTGCCTGGCACCTGGGAAGTACTGGGTAAATATGTGTTGGATGGAAGAGAATTCTGAAGAACACATTCTGCCTCCTTGTTGCTCAGGGATTTTTGCAGTCATCCTCTGGGAACAAAGCAGTGAGGTTCCGACGGCTGTGAGTAAACAAGAAACCATCACTGGTTGGAGGGAAGTTCACAGAGCCCTGTGATTCTCCGACTTCAGTGTGTTCAGGAGTCACCTCAGGAGCCCGTTCGAAAGGTAGTTCTTGGTCCCCATACCAAGACATTCTCATTCTGCAGTTCTGGAAAGAGCCCGAGAATATGTACTTTAAAAACTTGATGGTTGATTTTGATAAAGGTGACCCGAGACGCACTGATAGAGCAAGAAACCACGCCTGTTTTGAGCAGCAGCCCCAGCCTGCACAGCTGGTCAGCCACAGAATTGGGACCAGACCTGACTCTTTGCACAGCAGAGTACTCCCATCTTGTACTCACGGTCTCTTAATATATGTTTATAAGCTTCGCCCGTATATTGGTTACCATGGGAACACACAAGCCTGACGAAACTCTGTGCCTGTGGATAGGTTGATAGCTATCTTGAGAAAAATTCAGCTTCTTGATTCTTGATTCTATTTTCATGCAGATTCTTTCAAAATAACGTCGTCAATGTGCTTGGGTGACATGCTGATGTCATAACCTGTGTCAGGTAGTAAGTCATCATGAAACAGGATGTGCACATTGATTTGGGGGATTGTGCTGAAAAGATGTGGGGAAGTTGTATGGAGAACCTGTGGAGTGGAGTGTTAGGATTTAACGCTGGGGGAAAGCTTTGGGACAGCTCCAACAGTTTGTTCACTGATTAGAAGATTAAAAAAGAAAACAACATCAACATAAACTTGTGGTGAGGAGGAATTTCTAAGCTTGAATGAATGAGTGAATTATGTATGAAAGGAGTTTGGCTAAAAGGCGTTGCAGTAAAGAATATCTAATTTACCATAAATTCTTTGGTTAAGGGCACTGACCACAGTTAGAAGGACGGTGGGGGGGTGAGATATCAATGGGCAATAGTGACTGCTAAACTGTTTCGCAACAGAAATCTTTGAAGGCAGACGGGGGTTACAGGTTGAGCTTCCTTAATCTAAAAGTCCAAAATATTAAATGATTCAAAATTCAAAGGTTTTTGACCACCAACTTGGCATCAGTACCATGAGATTTTATTTCCTGGATAAAATTATTATTATATGTGCTGCTGAAGTGAATGCTCCTGGATAAAATTATTTAAAGTATTGTATAAAATTACCTGAGGGCTGTGTGCATAAAGTGTATTATGAGACATAAATGAATTTGGTGTTTAGGCATGGGTCTCATATTCAAGATATCTTCTTATGTCCATGTGGGTATTCCAAAATTTGAAAAAATCCGAAGTCTGATATGTGTATGGTCCCAGGCATTTCAAGTAGGGGACACTTAGCATGTATCATGTGTGGTACTCAGAGGGCCAGGCTGTGATGTAAGTTTTGTACATTATTTCATTTGATCATCATATCAGTGCACGAAGGCAAACACTGATTACGTCCATTTTACCAATAAAGAAACAGAGATTAAGTCAGTTGCCTACATTCACACAGCTATTAAGTGTTTAAGGTAGATTTGATCCAGGTATCTGGATCTGGAACCTTTTACTATTAACCAACCTCTACTCTCCACTGCGTTCAATGCAAATGTAACAGCCAGAACTTTATCTTCTGGAAGATTGCTAGGAGAGTCGATGAATTATTTAAAAATGAGAGCTGGCACAAAAAATTGCTTGGCATGTTTGGTGGGCGTAAGCATCACTGAAAAAGGCCATGTGAGACATATATCCAAGGTAGATTTCAAGTTATTATTCCAGACTTATAGAATCTACATTCTCTCCTCCTCTTCTCTTTAAACTATAGAAAAAATCTACCACATTCACCATTGCATTTGCCAATAGATTCTTTTCTAGGGGCAGAGCTGGAAGAGGAGAAAGAGGACGCAGTAAACATCTGGTTCTGTAGAGAGAGAAGGACTGGGCTGAAGGGTGCAGTCTGTCTTGACCATGATCTTGAGGGTTAGCCATCCTGACTCCCTACTATGTTTTACTTATTTTGTACCACAACTATCACTTTTTCTCTGTGTTAGCTTTCCGTTGATGTGACTGAAGTACCTAACAAAAATCCACTTCAAGGTGGAAAGATTTATTTTGGATCCTAATTTGTGGGGTTTCAGCCTATGGTTAAACTAGTTCCATTGTCTGGGGACTGAGACAAGGTGGAACATCATGGTGGCAGGGTGTGGTGAAGCAAAGCCTCTTCATGGCAGCCAGGAAGCAGAGAGAGGGAGAAAGAGCCAGAGAGAAGAAGGGACCATAAACCACACATAGTGCCCAAAGTCACACCCCATGGCCCATGCCTTTCAACTAGGCCCCAGCTCTATTTCTACCACCTCCCAGTAATGACATCACATTATTATTCTACGGGCAGGTTGACCCACTGGGGAAGTTAGGGCCCTCATGAGCCAGGCATCTTAAAACTCATCAGGTGGTAACCAAGCCTATAACACAATGAGATTTTGGAATGACTTTTTTTTTTTTTTTTACCAGGGATCGAACTCGGGACCTTGTGCTTGCAAGGCAGATGGTGAAACCACTGAGCTAAATCCCCGGCCCTGGAATGACATTTTAAGTAACAGCCATAACACCTTTGAACACACTAATAACCCTGAGCAGTAAGTGAGGGGCCCAGGAGAGAGGAGCAGGAGGACTGTGGGAAGGAGCTCTTGTGGGCTGAGATACCTCAGGAGAAACTGCAGAGCCTTGGCAATGGTGGCTGCTGAGAAATAAAGACCTGGAGAGACTAGACTGGGGAACGGGACGGCCCTTAGACAGAAGCTAACATAGGTAGTAACAAGGGCCTGGCCCGAACCCCCAAGGTGTCTGTTTTTCTATAAGGCAGAAATCCTGTGAGAAGGGACTTTTCCAGAAATCATCCTAAATAGAGAGGAACTGGAGGTGAAAAGGGAAGAGGACCTCTCGGAAGAGGAGTGGGCCTGACTCGTGTGACACAACACTCCTTCCTGGCCCTGACCCTCTCCCCCTGTCCTGTGCATCTCCTCCTCTTCTTGCTCCACGTCGTAGGCTGCTTCCTCGCTGCCCCCTCTGTCCTCGCCATGACGAAAGCAAATCAGAGGAAGAAATGCAGAACGGTCTGTAGACTTAACCCTTACCCGGAAAGTCTATTTCTACCCACTGCGGAGTCCAGTTTGTTAGCCCTACAGAATTTCTAATGGTGAATTTGTAGCAGGTGACTATTGGGATGTGGGGCAGGGTCCATGGTACTGGACTTTCATGGATGGAACCCCTACTGCTGCATTTCCTTACACAGGAAACCCCCATACCTCCCCCCCACACGCACACACACACACACACACACACACACGCACACATGTACATGCACATAATCCTCTTCAACCACACCCCTAATGTAGCTTGCAACTATACTTACAGGCAGCAGTCTGAAGGTGGTGTGCAGTCAGCCGGATAGAGAAGGTGCTCCAGGAAAAATGCTTTCAACCCATGACAGCCAGAGGGGGCCAAGGTCACTGCGCCACAGCAGTACCAAGGGCCCCTCATACTAACCTTCAGAAGCCCTTGTATATGACCCTCTACCAAGGACCAGGACTTAGGCAGCCTCTGACACCAGCCTTCACTGAGTCCTGGGGAAACCAGTTCAATGTAGCCAAGAGCTTGCCTGCTCCCAGCCACGCTCTTCCCAAATCTAGCAATGTTCGAAGTCCAGTGTCACTGTGGGCTCTTCAGTACCTACTGGGTAGCGAGGTCTCTGGGAACATTTGGGTCACATGGCAAGCATACAAACGTAAGTGCTCCTGCCGGATTATTTCACAATTCAAAACATGTTTCTTGATCTCTTCAATCTACGCAGATCTCTTTCATGCCCCAGTGAAACAAACAGAGCCCGGTGGGCAGCAACCTCACTGTCCCTCTGTTCCCATACCCTCTGCTTCGGAAGCCTCAGCACCTGGCTGGCCACATTCCACATGTCACCATCACTAACACCATTCATTGCCGGCAGCCATCTGCCATTTAACAAGGAGCAGCCACGACAGAGTCACACAGTGTCTGTGCTTCAGCTACAAGCTATAGGATTGGCTCTACTGTTTCCTCAAATTCTCAGTTTACTTTTGCAGAGTGAGACTGATTTTTCTCATACAGTGTGACCCTGACGGTTTGGAAAGGGTTCATCAGACTTGGTTGTTCCAAAGCAGGGTGTCTCACATCACAGATGCCAGACAAGAACCAAAGGTGCCCAGGAATCAGAGCTGTGGCTGAGGACAACTGGCAAGAGCAAGGGCTAATGGGGGGGACCCAGCCCCCCGAGAACTCCCTTAGAGGACCATGCTAGGTTATGACAGGCAGAGCGACGTGGAGCAGGCACATGGCTGCAAGAGTGTGAGTCAGCACAGCGACACTGGGCTTCCCAGCCCTCACGTGCCTCCATGCTGCGTGACCTCTGCTCTCTGCGGACGTCTGGTTTCTGCTTCTTCGTCTGAGGTAGTTCTCACTTTCTCAGGTGGTATGACCTCCCAGGCCAAAGCGAAGGGCTGAAGTCAGTGGTGCAGGGAGAAGTTGCTCAGACTGAAAGCCCAAGCTCATGCTCAGTGGGTTCACATCAGTCCCATGACACCAGCTGCTAAATTTTGCAACCATCATCCCCGATGACCCTTGAGTTATGCTCAGCCCAGAGAGATACACACTGTGAGAGGCCAGTGAGGGACTAGGTCTCTTGTTTCACCCTCTACATGGCTGCCAGGACCTCCATCCTTATATAGGCACTGTCCTTTGCATTGTTTCAATGGTTTCCTCCTCCATCCTTGACTATACTGCCCAATACAGAGTAAACTGATGAGTTTTTGGATGGGTTTCCACTGAATTTCACCTTGCTTTCCCTATTCCTGTGTCTAGGTTGCTGATCCTCAGTTTAGCTAGACCCTGTGTTCTTTCCGCTCAGTCACCCTCTCATCAGGGCAGCTCATACCTGTAAGTGACACTATCTTTGGGAAACAGCTTCCTCAGTTTTGTCTTTCTGTAACATCCAGGCCCAGCCAGGGACTCACAGCTCTCGTTCACCCAAACAACAGACATTTTTGGATCTTCTTATGAACACTGTGTTTTACCATCCATCACTGATATGTTTTGGTTACGAATCAGGTTGCCAGATTTGGCAAATAAAAATATAACCACCCAGTTCAATTTCAATTTCAAATAAGCAAGGACTGTTTTCAGTATATGTCCCACGCACTATTTGGAAAATAATTATAATTTTAAAATAGCCATTTTTTATTTGAATTTTAAAGTGGACCAGACGTTCTGCGCCTCCTCCGGAGCAATCGTTCCAAGCCACACCACCCACCACCACAACTCCACTTTGGTGATCAAGAAGCCAAGGGGCTGGGTGAGATTCAGAACAGCCTGATGCTGGGGACTAAAAGATGTCACCAGGAAATGATTTCCCCTCCTCTGCTGTCTACACCAGCCTCTTCTGGGCTGGCCACATTCTTAGATAAGGTTTGGGGTCACAGTAGCCAGACAGACGTGGTTTTGTGTCATCTTGTCCTTAAGATTCAAATTGACAAAAACAAAAAACGAAACAGAATTGTTTTTCCAAAGGCTCCCACAAAAGCCTTAGTGGCCCCTCCATTTAGATCACCTTTGGTCACCCGTCTCTCAATAAACCAAACCTTGTGGCCGAAGCAATGAGATGCACCCTTCGACTAAGGATGGAGCCAGCTGCACATCCTTGGGGTTGGAGAGGGCGCCTCCCTTCCAGACCGCAGACAGAGAAGCTACAGGAGGGACTGAGTTGTGCTGAAGAACAGGAAGTGGAAACCAGGAAGGCAAACAATGCACGTTCCCTGCTCACGTAAATTAGCGTAGGGCCTGCGTGGTGCGCGGCTGGGAAGCGGGGCGCGTATGCAGAGGCAAAACTGAGACAGCTGGAAAGCCCAGAAGGTGCCAGCTAACTGCTGTCATCAGCTCTTCCTAGAGTGAGCAGCTTCCCCTCCCTGCCCTCCTTTCCATTTCCTGCCACCGCCGCTGCTTCACGGGGTGTGTCGTTTGTTGTTCGAAGCAACCCAGAGGCAGTTTAGGGGCGTGGCTACCTCAGCAGCGCAGGCCTGACAGAAAGGTTTGAGGTGTCCAGAGGCCCACAGGTACATGACCCAGCAGATGGCTTTTCTGTGTAGCTCTTTGCAAGGACAAATGTCTTAGACCGTTGCTAATATTAACCTGAGGTTTGTTCGCATTTTAAGGGGCAACTTCAGCTTTGGTAAGTATTTTTTAATGGTATTGTCTAAAACACTGCTTCTTTTAAAAATCAAACGTGGAAGACTAGAAGGTGGCTACAATGAAGATTCTACAAGCAGAACTAAATAAAGAAATGAACCATTTCGTTACTTTAGTTTCATGTGACACCGGACACCCTAAATTTGAATGTTTAAAGACTCAAGGCCTAAAAAATGAGCAAAGCTGATTTCAGCTTCATATAAAAGAAGTCTAGAGGGAAGTGGCTCAGGGCTAAGGAAGTGTCTTTAGAGCAGTCAGCGACCCAGGCTTCTCACTGTGTTTTCATTGTTGGCATGTTCTACCTTATGGTCCAAGATGGCTGCTTGAGCGCCAGCCATCATAACAGAAAAGAGGAAGGGGCAAGGTGTGTACTTCTGCTCTTTAACTACATTTTCTTATATTTGTACATAACACTTCAATTATATTCCATGGGCCAGAACTTAATTTCCTGTCTACATCTATCAGCAAAGGATCATAGAAATTCAGACTGGTGGCCTTTTGAACAAGTGAAAATAATCCCTTTTGCCCAGTTAAAATGTAATAAGAAATTGAGAATGGATATCAGGGGCAAATAGAAATGTTGGCACCACAGGCAGTTACAAAACTTTTCTTTCTATTAGTATACTGAGAGTGAAGTATTGGAAAATTTTTACAGGAGAAATGATTTTTAAAGACTTAGGACAAAGATACCAGAGATGAACAAAGGAAACATGAAACCTTGAGCAAATTCTTCCCGTATGTTAAACCTGTCATTTTTGCAAATATGACTGATATTTGCTTGTCATTTGAGTAAATGTGATTGTCAGTGTATTGCCATATTTAGCCATCGCCTACCTATTTGTAGTTTTTAATATCCTTTTGATATTCAGTTATACGAATTTCACAGAGTTTTAAAATGTGGAGGGGGTGAAAGATGAAGCAAGAGTGACAAAATGTGCAAAGTGCTGATAATTGTTAAATTGTCAAATCACTGATAATTATTAAAGTCCGTGGCTATGCACGGGGATTCGTTATTCTATTATCTCTACTTCTATGCATATCTAAATATATGTATCATAAGTTTCTTTATGTATACATCATAATTTTCTTCAAGTAAATGCTTAAAAAGGATAAATTTCTTGTAGTCAAAATACAAGGAAGAGGGTACAGAAGTCATTCAAGACTTCCTCCGAGATCTAAACTAAATTTCCTAGCTTCCATTCATGAGGCTGATCTCAGTCCTATAAATTCTAAGGCCTTTGTTGAAGGACTTGTCAATCTTTCACAAGGTTTTCCTCATTAAAAGAAAAGAGTCTGAAAAGAGGCATTGTACATGATTCATTCTTTCCCTGCCTGCCCCCAGACTGCCTGGTTTTCCAGTCTTTATTGAGAACTTGTTCTGAGTTGCTCTGGGGATGCAGAGATGAGTAAGACACTCTCACTTACCTTTCAGTAGCTCCTGTTCTGCCAGTAGAGACACACTTAAAAACAGACTGTAGTTGTATCATGGTGAGGTTGCGGTACAGATAGCTCTCCACAGGATTCCGCAAAACACACTCATGCTTCGGGTGGGTATAAGATACGAACCCAGAAAAGCAAAAAGGCTCAGAAAAAAAATGGCTTTTTTGTTTAAATCTCAATTTCACTGTAAGAAACTTAATACCAAGTGGCACTGTATAGTTGGATGTATGCCAACCTGACCCTACCAACATAAACTACAAAGATGCTTTTAAAATGAATGGAATTTGCAAATGTTAATGTATTCAACATATTTTAAATGTTAGTATGACTTGACCACAAATTCCTTGGTTGCCATCAGAAGAAATGTTAGATGTAATGAAGAACAACCATTAAATAAGCCAGTGAAACATAAGTTATTATGGAACTTTATAACCAAGTTAGCGGAAAGTCCTTTTTTTAATGGATATGAGTTATTTAAATCATCAACAAATCTGTTTTTGGATGTAGCAATTATCACAATAGCTAGACCAGCATTATGTATGAATGAATCATTCCATCACTGGAAGTTAGTGAGAACATTTGGGTTTTGTCTTGACTTTATCACAAAGTAACCAAGTGCCTTAGGTAGATCAGTTAATCGACTGGGATTTTTATTTTTCATCCAATAAAATTAGAGGGAAGAGGATTAATGGGGGGGTCTCAAACTTCATTTGGCCATATCACCCTTAATTCAAATGAAGCATTATTTAGACGCTCAACAAACAAGGTACAGTTAAGTGAGGTGCCCGTGCGTGTGCGTGTGTGCGCGCGCGCGTGTGTGTGTGTGTGTGTGCACGCGCACGTGTGTGATTGGTCCTGCACTCACCTTCCTTTCTCCAGATATCACCCCACAGTCACCTCCTCCGAAGAAGAATGTGACTGCTTCTGATGTGGAGAATCCCTGGAGTCATTTCCCACCCTCGCACTGATGGCCCTACTGCCATGA